CGGCGACCCGGGCCTGCCTCCTCCGCCTCCTGCCGGGGGCGGAGCCACGGTCTGAACCGGCGCGGTCTGCGCCCCAGGAAGCCGGAGCTGCTCGCGGCGAGCCGCCGGGCGGTGCAGGCCGGAAGGGGCGCTGCCCCCGAGTCCCGCGGTGGTGCAGGGCGCGTAGTTTCCAGCGGTGGGGCTCCGGGCCCCCACCCCTGGCGGAGTTGTCGGGTGTTAGGCTCGCGTAGGGTTCGGACTGGGTTGAGATGAGGGGCCCTGGCGTCCAGGTTGGGTAGAGATTGCAGTGTTCTTCACCACAGCGCCCTTGGTTGGGTGTGGATTTTGTCTAGGGAAGAGGGCTTAAGCTTCACTGAGAAGATTAGCCGGGGCTAGTCCCGCTTGGAATCATACCTCTCATAACGTTTGGTGCCATGTGTCCTACCCTGCCATTTTCAGAAAAATGTTCGTTGGTGGCCTGAGCTGGGATACAAGCAAAAAAGATTTAAAGGACTATTTTACTAAATTTGGAGAGGTCGTTGATTGTACAATAAAGATGGATCCGAATACCGGACGGTCAAGAGGGTTTGGGTTTATCCTCTTTAAAGATGCTACCAGTGTGGAAAAGGTAAGCTGAGGAACGTGTTCTCAGAGAACTTGAGTCCCAAGGACAGTGCTGGGCAGACAACCGCTTTAGCTTGTGTGGTGCTATGGGGGAAGGCTTTGGGAGGACAGTGGTCAGCAGCTTACCTTCCTGTTTGAAGGAATGGGGTAAGGGGAAGAGCATTCTGGAGTGGTTGGGGAAGATGACAGTGGAGGCTGATTACCTTTTTATCTACCCACTCCCGGGCACGGTGCTAACTTCACTGTGGGAAGCAGGAAGAGAGTCCAAGATCGCTAAGAGGATAGGCAGGTTAGCTTTATTTTACAGGAAAAAACAAACCCTAAGGGTTGGAGAAATCTTAAGGGGAAAGATGATGTAGCTAGTCCCAGGCTGAGGAGGAGTCCAGTCCCAGGGGCTGTCTCCAGCCTGTCCCCTTAATCGCTGCTACTTTCCTGGAAAGGAAGTGGGGCCCAGCTGGGGCTGTGTGGCGGGAAGAAGAGGGGGCGCAGCCTGGGCACAGAATGAGAGGAGGGAGGACCGAATGGAGAGGTCGGCTGGGGCAGAGCCTGGAGGTGTGAAGCGGGGTTTGTGTGGGCCTCCTATGTTGTGTGGTAAGTTGGATCCTGGTCCCGTGTGTTTGGAACAGGTCCTAGACCAGAAGGAACACAGACTGGATGGCCGGGTCATTGACCCCAAAAAAGCCATGGCCATGAAGAAGGACCCTGTGAAGAAAATCTTTGTTGGGGGTCTGAATCCTGAAGCCACTGAAGAAAAGATCAGGGAGTACTTCGGCGATTTTGGGGAGGTGAGTGGGGTGCCTACTCCCTTGTCACCTTGGCTGACTGGAGTCCTTAGCAAGGCTTTTATTCTCTGGCTTCCAGTAGGTCTTTGCTGTAGGTCTTTGCTGTGTTTCCTGAGATGGGGGAGCTTTGGTTCTGAGCGTTACTTATATTTTTATAGATCGAGGCCATTGAGCTTCCAATGGATCCCAAGTTGAACAAGAGACGAGGTTTTGTTTTTATAACTTTTAAAGAAGAGGAGCCTGTGAAGAAGGTCCTGGAGAAGAAGTTCCATACCATCAGTGGGAGCAAGGTGAGGTATCTCCGCTGCCTCCCGCCTGCTCTGGAGAGGGGCTCTGGCAGGGGAGGGGACAGTGGGCTACACCGTTGGGCTCTGGTCTCGTAAGTGCAGGTGGCTCTGTGCTGCAGAGGACTCCCAGGCCAGGGGGACTGGGGAGGGCTGTAGGGGAAAACAGGGCTTCTGTGAATGGGGCGTCTTGAGTACCGCCTAGGTTGTTTATACTAAGCTAGGGGTGACCGCTGTTCTAGACCTATAGCCCAAAGTGTGCTGCATGAGGCCTGTTTCTTCTGTGGTAAAGCTGTTTCTGCTCTAGAGCTTGTCTCCTCCTGTCCACTTTGGGCACTGCCTTAGTCAGCTGCCCCAGGCCAAGATCTCAGAGAACTCTGGCCCTCTTCAGTCCAGCCTGTTGTGCCATCCAATGTGGAGTCATACAGTGAAGCGTGCAGCTCCTCTGGACTCTGGGAGGGGAGAGAATAACTTAGGTTTCGAGTTGGCAGTTAGGAGGTGAGGGTGTGGCAGGGCGTGGGCGTCTGCACTCTGTAGGAGTGGCAGCCAGATAAGGTGGGGACCCTGGAAGCCTCGGTCCTAGAAGGGAGTTCATGAAGCTGAGGATTAAGGCCAGGCTTAGGGGTCATCATGCCTGTCATTCGAATGTTCTGTGGACTGAGGAAGCAAGATTGTACCTTGGAGCTCAGCCTGAGCAACTTAGAGACTTAGACTTAGGAAGACCCTGTTTGAAAGAAAAAAAAGGAGGGCTGGAGATACAGCTCAGTGCAAAAATCCCCTGGTTTTTTTTTTTTTTTTTTTTTTTTTTTTAAAGCTCCTGGTTTTAATCTTCAGTACCACTCAAAGAAGATTTTTAATTAGGTCCCTAAGTGTTCATAAAGAGCAGTTGGACAGGTCATTAACTGAGTGGAAAGACATTTGTATTTGTGCCCCCAGCCTGAAGTGATGGGAAGGAACCTCAAGCTTTGGGAACTGCCTCTTCGTAGCTCTTAGAAATTGATTTGGGTATATTCCATATTTTTAATTAAGCAACATAAAAAACAATTGTATTGCTTAGGTAGAGATAATTTGTCAATTAAGAGAATGTTTGGGGAGACAAGGCAGAAGTGGGTTTTTAATGGAGGTGTGTCAAGTTTGCTTAACATTGCTGTAGTTTATTAAGCAAAAGCACCTGAAAATCCCCACCACTGCCCCTTCATGGGCAGAAAAGGGCACAGGCCTGCGGCTCTGGGGGATGCACACCCCTGGGCCATCCCAACAGCAGGCTGGCACTGGCACCTGGAAGGCCTGGGGGATCCTGTCACCCCAGGTGCTGGCTTCATCTGTCAGGTGGAGGGCAGCGTCTCAGGAGTTTGAGTGGGATGAGATTCTTTGGGGGGAAATTGGTCAAGTCTCCATGGTGCTTAATACTGCTTATCGAAGAAGGATCTGGCCCTCTTAGCCCACTAGGATCAGAGTGGTGCTAGCCTGTCCGCCCTCTGCTCAGACTCTGAGGTGTGCTGCTGTCCTGGGCTGAGATGTCTAACCCTAGGGCGTTCTTCCAGGAAAGGTTTTCTTCAGAAAAGCCCTTGTTTGCGGTTCCAGAAGCTTCTAGCCCAGATGTGCTCTGCCCCACTGCGTTTTGTTTTTAGAGGGGCCCGACTGGTCTTCTGAGTGCTTATCACAGTGAAGGTCTGTGTGCAGTCTGGCTGACTTGTCCTGTGGCCTGACCTGTTGTCCTCTTGACTTTCAGTGTGAAATCAAGGTGGCCCAGCCCAAAGAGGTCTATCAGCAGCAGCAGTACGGCTCGGGGGGCCGTGGAAACCGCAACCGAGGGAACCGAGGCAGCAGCGGCGGTGGCGGTGGCGGAGGTAAGTGGAATCTGGATGAAGATGGGTCCTCTCCCTGGTTGCAGGGTGTCTTCTGTTCCTGTCTCTGGGCAGCTTCTGGCATATCCTGCAGCAGGGTGAATGGGCAATGTGAGGTGGAAATGGGAATGGTTTTCCTGGATCAGCTGTGTGCTTGTGCTCTGTAGCTCCTTGGAATGGAGGAGCCCTGGCTTAGTCCTGCTTGGGGCCCCAGCGCAGAGGGAGCGTTGGCATTGCATTCTGGGCGGCAGCATGAGGGGTTGTGCTTGGCTCTGTGGCTGTCTTGAGACTTGGGAAACCCAGGGCTGGGTGGGGCTGAAGGGTAGGGCAGAGCTGTGCCAGGCGCTTCCATCCCAGGCCCTCTGACTCCAAAGCCTGAACTGCATCTTCCAAGGCCGAGCTGCCAGGGTGGGTGGGCTGATGAGTGAGTAGCCACCTGAGCGTGAGGGAAGTTAACATCCTGGCCTCCCGATAGGGTCTCAGGTGCAGGGCTGGGCCCAGGGCCCTCTACACCAGACATGAGGCCCTTGGCTTCTGTCTGAGTTGCCATAGTAACCCCGCCACCCAAAGGGCAGGATTTCCTCTATCCTAGCTCCTGCGTGTGCTAAATGGTCCCTGGGCCCCTGTGCCCTGCTCCCCCCACAGGTCAGAGTCAGAGTTGGAATCAGGGCTACGGCAACTACTGGAACCAGGGCTACGGCTACCAGCAGGGCTACGGGCCCGGCTATGGCGGCTACGACTACTCGCCCTATGGCTATTACGGCTACGGCCCCGGCTACGACTACAGTAAGTAGGAGAGAGGGAGCCCTGTAACTCCCCTTAGGGGAGGCAGGTTAGATAGTGTAGGGGCCGCTCGCAGCAGGGGCTTTGGAGTCAGACAGGTCTGGCTCGGGCCTTGGTCAGGCGGGGAAGGTGATCCCAACAGTGAGGGTTTGAGGATCGGTCAGGAGGATGCGTGTCAAGCGCCTGGCACAGGGTAGATGCTCTGTAAGTAGTACTTGCTACTTGTTCTTGTCCCTAGGTCAGGGTAGTACAAATTACGGGAAGAGCCAGCGACGTGGTGGCCATCAGAATAACTACAAGCCATACTGAGGTGGCAGCAGGAGCGGCCGGCCGACTGACCGCACGCGCTTTGTTTGGATACGGAGTAAACACAATTATGTACCAAATTTAACTTGGCAAACTTTCTATGGCCTACCCCCCTGTGCATCTTATTTAAAATTTACCCCTTGGAAATCACTCTCCTGTTTACTATTTGCAGAGCTCTAGTTTTAGGCAGCGTGTGGTGTCTCAAGAGGCCAGAGTGGCATTAGGGGCTGATTCTGTTACCAGTTTACTCAGAACCAGAGTGGAGGGTTCCCTTCCTGCTGCCGCTCTGCAGCCTAGACCTGTGGACCCTGGTTGTAAAGAGTCAGCTGTATCTTAGGAAACCAGTGTCACCTTTTTTCACCTTTTAATTTTATATTATTTGTGTCATACATTTCCTGTAATGGAAGTGTTAATTTTACTGTACTTTTTGGTACCTTTGGGAATCTAATGTATTGTAAGGTATTTTACACGTGTCCTGATTTTGCCACGACCTGGATACTGAAGCTATCCGAGCTTTTGAAATAAAAATTGTAAAAACCCCCAAGCCTGGGTGAGTGTGGGGTGGATGTGTGAGTGGGACTCCCAGGGGTGCTGCGTTGAGGCCTCCTCCCCAGCAGCCCGGCAGTGGCTAGCGCTCTGAGTGTGTGTCCAGGGAGAGGGTCCCACCAGCCTCTGCCTACTGCACACCCTTGGTCAGCCCCTCCCCCAGAGCTGGCTGGGGAGGGAAGGGGTGCTGCTGTCCGCTCACCTCTGTTACCACATATGCTTGCTAAGTGCTGGGGCTCTCTGGAGGGAGTGGGTAGGCAATACCACCTCAGAAAGCTGAGGGAAGGGGACAGGACTCTTAAAGAAGGCTCAGCCTGCTGAGGGTGCTCAGCAGTGTTTAAGGTAAGGGACATGTCTGGGTGTCTACACACAAGCAGCAAGGCTCACCTGGAGAATGGGTCCCTGGCAGCTGGGCTGGCTCAGGCTTGAGGCCTCAGTGTCTCACAGCTTCTCAGTGTCTCTTCCATATCTGAAAAAGGTACCACACTGCTTGGATGGCATTTGGGTGTCAGGCCCGCCAGCCCCCTCAGGCTCACCCTTCACCCACACGTCTGCCAGTAAGTGTCTTTGTGCTTGCAGGCTGGGGCTCATTCTGCTGAGACTGGCTGTCTAGGAACCCCAAACTGTATGTGGCCAGTCAGCCTCCACGCTGCAGGATATGGAGCCCCGCCACCCCCAGCGGGGACTAGGTCGCCTGAGCTCCAAGTCCCCGGGCTTAGCTGTACCTGTGGCCAGTCTGGAAGTCACCTGGCGGTGGAGAGGGTGACTGCTGGACATTCTGACCCTGCCATAAGATGACAGTTTTGTCTAGGGGCTGAGTTTTGCACATGCTGTACAGCTTCTATGCACAGCTGTGTTCGGCAGACATCTCCCTTAGAGGTGAGTGTAGGGCCCAGCTTGGCCTGACCTTGATCTTCTTGAGTGACTAGGGCTCTGGAGCATTCCACTGCAGCCCCTTCTAGTCTCAGTCCAGCTGCTCAGCAGCCTCAGCAGAGTGCTGCCCCTGCTGTCCACCTCCAGTGCGGCAACACGTGAAGTTGAATACAATCTCGCAAGCTCAAACCTGTGTTCCACACGGATTCCTGTCCGGGCAGCAGGACAGCTGCTGGGCTCCCATTCCTCAGGACTGGGAAATAGTTCAGTGCCTTCAGCTGCTGGGGAGCTCTAGCCACAGACCATGCTGCATTCTGGAGACCTGTGTAGCTGCCGCTCGGGCTCACCTGTCAGGATGGCGTCCAGCCTTGCCACCACATGCTGTGCGTTGTCCCTGCTGAAACACATTGGCGGCTTAAACTTGAGCACATTCCTCCCAGGGCCGTCAGTGCTCAGCAAGATGTAGCTCTCCTTCAGCCTGTGAGGAAAGGACGTGCCTTTGCATGGTGTTCAAGGCCTGGCCTTGGCCTAGGGCCCACCCCTGCCAAAGGCGTGCTCAGCCTCTACCCGTATGTCAGTATCCCCTGCTCAGCCAAAGGACGTGTGGACCTGGAGTTGAGTCACACCAAGATTGCCCACAGGTGACACTAGGCTGCGGGGAGAGTTGGCTGGGTGTTTCTCCCCTTTACAGTACCAAGGATGGAACCCTGGGTGGGGCCTTTGTGCTCAGGTGCATCCCCAGCCCTTTAAAAAATTTTTTTGTCAGGCTGGGCCTGATGGTACATACCTGTAATCCCAGGAGGCTGAGGCAGGAGGACTTTGAGTTTGAAGCCAGTCTCAAAAGTCATCTCCCAAAAAATTTGAGTCAGCATCTCATTAGGTTGGATGACTGGGATCAAACTAGACATCCTCCTGCCGCAGTCTCTCACAGTGCTGGGGTTACCGGCCTTTGCCACTACAGTTTCCTTTATCCATGGCGAGGGTGATGCATATTTACTTATATGGACACGGTCCAACAGAAATTGGATAGCATAAAGTCATCACCGAAACTTCTTTTCCTCAGAGTACTTCGCAGTTCCACACAGGACTGTTTTACATTTCCTTACTTTAAGGAACGTAAGACTCATTTGTATCATGGCCACAGAGAAGAGGGGTCTGGTAACTGTAGCTACAGTCTCTCTGATTCCTGCACCTACTTATTCTTGTTCGGACATAACCTGAGTGTGCAAGGGTAAGGTGGGGTGCCTTTCTGTCTGTTTTCTGGCTCTTTCCTCCTGTCCTGTTTGGCAACAACAGTGGTGCCAGCAAGAACAAGGCACTTTGGAGCCAGGCACCCTGGGCCGGGACCAGCTCTGTGCCCACGGCAGGGTGGCTATAGGTGGACTACTTGCCCAGAGCTCTGCTACCAGAAGGAAGGTAGGGAATTGGTCTGGGCTTGGCTCCTTGCCACCTGAGCATTCAGAATCCGAAGACTGATCATTGAGGCCAGGCCCTGGCACCCTGGAGAGGCTTCCCACTCGATTCTCTGTCCCAGTCGGCAGAGGTCTACTACCTGAGGGCTTTTCCACGGTGGGAAAAGGGGTGGGATGGGGAGTGGAGCCAGAAGCGGGTGATAACTAGAAGGTGAAAGAGCCCTAAGGCCTTCAGTCCTGCCTGGAGTTCAAGTGAAAGACAAGCTGGGTGTGGTACACTACAATCCCAGCACTCGGGAAGGCTGAGGCAGGAGGGTTGCTGCAAGTTCAAGGCCAGCCTAGACTACATAATGAGACCCTGCCTCAAAAAGAAAAAAATAAGCCAGACTTGGGCTGGTGTGTAAGCCCTGTGAGTGGGTTCACAGACCTCTCTATCTGGCTGAGTAACCTGCCTCCCCACAGAGCCCTCTGAGACATGGGCCTGCCTGGGTCTAAGCACCCAGCTAGCTTTGGCAGTCTTGGTAGAGCGGCTGCCCGGGCTGGGGAGGCGTCTGGTGCTATGGAGCCACCCTATCCTGGACTAGGACCTGTGCAGGGAAGGCACTGCACTGACGCTGCAGTCCCCCAGCCAGGTGTGATCCTGGAGCTCTAGGGGCAGGGTGGATGGACAGGCCAGACGGCCACGTGGTTCAGGAAATACCTGGATACCAAGTAGTCAGCCTCTTCAGTTGCTGGAGTTCTCGTGGCCTCATCCTTCACCAGATCCACACCGATGAAGAGCCCAACGCCCCTAGAGGAGAAGGTGGCATCAGGAGGCCAGCTCTGAGGGACATGGCAGTTCTCACTGACTGGGCCTTGTGCAGGCCCAAGCTGCTGTCCTCAGGTGGCTGCTGAGAGCCTCGAGACCCTGGAAAGGTGGGAACAGTCCAGGGAGTGTCAGGAGAGGGAAGGGGCTGCAGGTGGGCACGGTCAAGAGTGCACCCAGCACCCCCTAAAAGTGCCATGCTCAGCAGCAGTGCCCCTCCACACCTCAGTTCAGTGGGGTGCACACGCATCCGGCCACCCCACCCCTGGCAGCTGTGTGCTGTGAGGATGCGGGCCACATGGCTCACCTGACATCCCCGATGATGGGGTGCTTTTCCTTCTGCTGCCGGAGGAGCTCCATCAGGAAGCTGCCCACGCAGGTAGCATGAGTCTGCAGCTGTTCCTTCTCCAAAACATCTAGGACAGCGAGCCCCACTGCACAGGACACAGGGCTACCCCCAAACTGAGCCAGGGGACAAAGGTATGTCAGGTGCCCTGCCTGGGAGGCCATCACGGGTCACACCTACCCCACTGCCACACACATTTCAGGACAGTGACGGTGAGGCCTCTAGCCCTTCCAGGGCCCCCTACGGCTGTCCTGTCTTCGCAGGTGTCCATGTGATTACAACCCAGGTCACCTACCTAGGGGGTACAGAAGGGGCTCCCAGAAGAGCAGAACCAGAAGTGAGCATGTACTGTGCATTCTCGGCTGGTTCTGCCAAGGAGGCCTTAGGGCCTCACCTGAGTGGCTGGGCCCTAAGTCCGCTGTCAGGCTTCCATTGCCTTTGCCAGGGTGGGCCTGGGAGGCTAAGGCGGGAGGGTTGCAAGTTAAAAGCTAGCCTCAGCAGTTCAGTGAGCGCTGGGTGCGGGGGTGCAGGCCTGTAATCCCAGCACTTGGGAGACTGAGGCAGGAGGATTTTTGGAGTTCAGATGGTGCTGCATAGTTCCAGGTCAGCCCATACTACAAAGTGAGACCCCCATCTCAAAAAACCCCAAAAACCTGCAATGCAGCTCAGTGGGGTTCAATGACCACTTCTGCAAAGAACACCACAGCTCATTCCAGAAAAGCCAGTGAGTGGTCCAAGTTCATGGCTTTGTTGACTGAGCAAGCCTGGGCCAGAGTTTGGGGTCCATAACAGGATAGCTGTTGGGAGTGTCTGGCCTGTGGGCTCATTGGCTTGTGTGGCATTTCTCGAAGTTAGGAACTGGGTGTTCCATTTAAAGTAATGTTGCACACAGATCCATTTCTGCTGTCCACCTGCTCTATCTGGCCGTCTGGGCAGGTCCCCTGGGCAGCCTGAGTGCTTTTTTCTCACTTTTCCTGTGTGGCCTGGCCCCATGGGCGTTCTGAACGGGCACGTGTGCGTTAAGGGATCAGAAACAAGGTGACTCCTGTGGGTCTTTGAAAAATGTCAGCTTTACTGAAGTATAATTTACAAACAGTGAACGCTTCCTGCTAGAATAAACAGTGTAGAACAACAGTGTGGGTTGAATGCACTGGGACAGATGTATATACCTGTGGAGGTTCCTCCACAGCACACCTGCGGAATATTCCTGTCACTCCTCAGTTCAGTCCACACCTGCCTCAGCCTTCTGAGGGCTGGGGTGACAGGCATTCTCTACCACGCCCAGCCTCAACATGTGTTTTGAAATGTACACTTTGGTCTTTTTTCTCCTCAGGTACTAGGGTACTGTACTACTGAGCTACTTCCACCCCCATCCCCCAGGCCTTTTTTCCCTCAGGCTTTTTAAAAAAAAAAAAAAATCAGATTTTTTAATCAAGTAAAACAAGCTGTGGATTGAATGAAATGTTACAAATAAACTAGTCCAAACCAATGTACAGTGACCAGTCAACAATGTAGAACTCAGACGTACCATCACATGACTTTGTACCTCAAAACCAAATAAACAAGCCCCCGGGCACCTAAAATCTGTGTGACAAACTTTTTCAGTGAAAATTAAATTTTAATCACTACCAAGTGTCTTCACTCTTACTATACTAACAGCTGTATTGAATCTTACAGTGCGGTTTTTAAGTCCTCCACTTGCTCTGGTTACTACCTCAAAGATTAACGTATAGCGCAACCATTTTAGCAGGTGCACGCATGCCGTGCGTTTGGAAAATCTGGACAAGACAGGATGGAGTTGGCCCTTGGCCTCAGGAAGAACAACTCAACTGGCTCGCGCCTGATACCGGTGACAGGACACCCGATACTGGTGTCCATACACCCAAGCCTCCCTGTATAGCTCTTGGGTTTCTTGAGCTTGATTTTAGTAGTTGGATTTTTTTGTGTAGTGGTCTGTACCACAGGTGGAAGTGTAGTTACCCAAACTGAGCAATTACAACCATAAACACGTGCATATCACAGAAAAACTTTTAAAAAGGATGAACAAACTCAAAAGCGACTGAAGAAGGGAAAAAGACATACTTTGAAAGGACAATCAGTAATGTAAAATGACCTGATCCAAGGTTATAGGACAACTACCGTCTACCTTTCGATGGCAGTGACCACGGTCACTGGTAACACGTAAAATGGAAAATACTGTGACAGTCTTTAAGAAATGTAATCTGACAGTCTGTCCCTTGCCCACAAACTCGTATTCTGCCTCTTTTCCCAAGACCTCCAGTCTCCATTGCAGCATCTAGCCATCAGGCAGAGCTGCAGGTCAGGCTCCCCAGAAGTTGCTCTCCAGGTGAATGTCCTCTTGATCTGAAGACCGAGAGCCACAGCGCAGGGTCCTAGGTCATCGTCAGACCCAGAATGGTCCAGGCTGACTTTGAACACAACACCCTCCTGCATTAGCTTGCCCAGCAGTAGTCTTCATTTTCTTACACAATCACTCCATTGTATTAGCCTGCCATAATTTATCACATTGTTGGTGGACCCTTTTGTTATTTTGAGTTTTGGTTATGCATATTTGTACACCCCCCCCTTTTCTCATTGCTATAGGGATGTATGGTAAATATGTTTGTAAGAAACTGAAACTTCCAAAGTAGTTGTACCACATTACATTCCCACCCAGTATCGAGATTCTAGTTGTGCTATAATCTCAACACTTGGAATTATCCATTGTTTTCTGTATCATAAACTACAAGGTTGAGTAATCCTTAATCTAAAATTTCTCAAACCTGAAGCTTTCTCAGTGTCATGTTGGCACTCAGATTTGGATTTCAGTGTTTGCGACCACTGACTCTGGGATTACAGATGCTCCTGTGTGGTTAGAAGGTGGAAGCTGGGCTAGGAGTGGATGGAGTCAGTAGCCAAGCCTTGCCCAGCACCTCTGAGGCCCTGGGCTGCACCCCCGGCACCGTGGGTGGGGGTTACTAATAGTCTGACTGAGCATTATGACCTGGCCAAGGTGCTGAAATGGCATAGTGGCTGGGTTCTTTCGGGATCGCCCTAGAGAAACAATAAAGAAGAAATGAAAACAAAATGTAGGGTTGAACATGTAGGACAGTGATGAGTCTGAAGCAGGAAGCAGCCCACCAATGGCACTTGGGAGTTAAGATAGGAAAGAACGGCCCGGGGATATAACTCAGCAGTACAAGCACCTGCCTGGCAAGTGCAAGGTCCCAAGTTCGATTCCTGGTACCAAAAAAAAAAAAAAAAAAAAAAAGAGGAAAGAACAGTCAGCGTGGTGAGGCAGGCCCACAGTCACACCATATGTGTGGCTGAGGCAGGAAGACTGGGTGAGACCAGCTTGGGCTATAGAATGAGTTCAAGGTCAGCATAATATAGTGAGACCCTGTCTCAAAAAAACTAAAAAAAAAAAATGCTGGGGGTGGGGCACATGGCTGTAGTACTCGGGAGGTTTAGGGTTAGGGTTTGAGCCCAGCCTGTGCAACCCCTTACTGAGACTGTCTCAAAATAAAAAATACAGGCAAAGGGCTGGCTGGGGATGTAGCTCACTGTGAAGGCTCTGGATTCAACCTCCACTACCACAGGCAACAAAACCCTAAGATGCATGAAAGACAGAAGCAGAAGTGCTAACAGTCCTACACAGAGAAGCAGTTAAAGGCATTAAAATGGAAAAATCTGCTGAGATCAGGAAAAAGAAATCTCAGAGCGAAAGAGTTCAGTGACGAGAGAGAACTGCACATCTGGATACATGGTGAGGTTTAAAATAGTAAAGAACAGTTTCCCAGAGTTTACAGAGAAATCCCATAAAAAAGGAGCAAGAATCTGATTTCAGGGTGACCGCAGTGAAAATGGCAGGAAAGGAAAGGAAAATGCAAAAGTCATCACAACCAACTTTACAATTCAAGAAAGTAAGCAGAGGCTCCCGCAGACCGTGTGCGGCTCCTTCCAAGCGCAGAGCCCCTTCCGACAGAACTGTTGTCTGGCTTCCCTGTGGTCCCCAGGACTCTCCCACAAGGCGGGCTTACTTCACACGGGGGCCTGCCCACTGAGAAAACCCTTTTCTAGCTGGCGTGGTGGCGCACGCCTGTAATCCCAGCACTTGGGAGGCTGAGGCAGGAGACGAGTTCCAGGCCAGTGTAGACTACACAGCTCAAGGCCAGCCTGAACTACGTAATGAAACCGGCTCAAAGAAGACCTTCCCTTGCGGGTAGTGTGGAGGCACTCAGAGGCAGTCACATAATGCTGGATAACTAATTTAAAAGCTTAAGAGGAAAGGCTGGAGGATAAGCTGTCTGCCGGGGCTTTGAGGAACCGGGAGGCGATTCCTATGCACTGAGTGTGCCCACGCCCAGTGCTGTGAGCAGGTCGGGCAGCCTCTAAGCAGCAAGGCTGTGGGGTGAGGTTGAGACTGTCAGCAGGTGTCACCTATGTACCAGTCCTAGGTATGCAGCGATTTCTATGCAGTTTAGAGAGAACCAGCTAACCTGGCAGAGACTGCAGTGGCCACATGTTACAGAGAACATAGACTGTAAGGGCTTAGTTCTGAAAAGCCACCAAACAGACATAAAGCCCACCTTAGGAAGGGCGGGGAATATGATTTCCAAACTTGCCACATCATTTTACAATGTCTGCTGTCAGCAAGAAATGGTAGATGTGAAAGGAAGTGAGCACAGCCCTTAACGGGACAATAACTATAAACAGTATTTGAAGAGGCCCAACGCCGACCTTATTAGAAAAAAAATCAGACTTTATAATACTACAAGAACTAAAATAGGTGGGTGTGGTAGTGCACAGTCCCAGCACTCAGAAGGCATGAGGATCACTCTGTGTTTGTTTTTCTTTTGTCTTTTTGAGACAGGGTCTCACTATGCAGTTCTTCAGGCTAGTCTTGAACTCACTTTGTAGCCCAGGCAGGCCTTGAACTCGCAATGATCCTCCTGCCTCACCCTCCCAAGTGCTGGGATTACAGGTGTGTGCCACTATACCCAGCAGGAGGGTCATTTTAAATTCAAGGCCAGCCTGAAGTACGTATCAAGACCCTGTCTCAAAAAACCAACTAAAATAAATAGTTCAAGGCCAGCTTGAGCTGGTTACCAAGACC